GCTCTAGCACATTTCCACCGCCTTGTCCGTTTTGCTTGATGTGGAAAGGCTCTTTTGCGTGATTGAAACACGCTTTCTTGGGTGACCTACGGTTCTGGAGGCAGAGGGAGAAAAATGCCTAGATTTGGCAATAGCCTTCTTGTGTGCGCCCCACCCCCAAAAGGTCCAAATCAGAACATGCCTGGCACATAGTTGAACCAAACTTCCTGCGTCCAGTGGGCGCGAGAAATAGTCCTGGGAGATGGTTTGAGAGAGGGCAGAGGACATAGAGCCCATAGCTACTATAACTGGATCAGTAACTGAACGCTGCAGCGCCAAGCACTGAGCCTCAACTACTGATGGTGGGGAGCCAGAAGCTGAAGAGAGTTCCCCCAGGCATTGGGGCATATCCATCTCATTCCAGGAGAAGGGGGACAGGTAGGCACCTTAGGCTTGGGCATAATAAATGTGAGACCCACAAAAACCAATACAATAATGAGGTTATACCCCGGGAAAAGTTATAGCTGCTGACAAAAAATAATACAGGCTAAAAGGGGTTAATCACCCAAATTAGCTACAGTGAGGGAGAGAGAGGGGAGCGCTCCATGGCCCAGACCAGTACACACGAGGAAAAGACAGAGTCAGGAAGGAAGGGTAGGAACATAAAATGGCTGCCAATCTCGAGAGGATCCTGGCAAAAAAAACCTTTACATTCGGCGAATGGTACGAATTTGCGTGAAAAACTACTGAAACAGTCAATTCACTGCAAAACTTCCAAACGGTACAATTCCCTGCTAAAATGCCTAACAGTATAATTTGCGGTACACCCGAATGGTAGTCATTAATGATGGACTACAAAAATAAATATACATAAATATAAGGGTGCTCACTCCAAGAGCTCCATTTCCAAAAAGCTAATAATATAATCATATAGTAAGGAAAGGAGGAGCACAAATAATAAAAATGCAAAAAACTTTATTGTGTAGGTACACATATAACAGGTATCAACAGAGACATCATAAAGTGTCAGTATATTTAAACATATCTGTCCAATATGTAAACAATGACTAGGACCAAAAGAAAATAAGATCAAAAATAGAAAAATTCTGATCTAAATAATCAACAATGCGTGGTATAGCCACTGATACAACAGAGAAATGTTATGATACCTGTATAAAATAGTGAACCAAAAAATACATACCAAATACAAATCCTATCAAGAAACATGAGAAGAGGGTGAAGACGTCAAACACAAAATAGCCCCTAACGTTTCGGCGCTATCCACCTTTATTAAGGGAGCATGTGGTGAAGGAAACATAATAACCTTTATATACCAACATTTAATAAAACCTTGGGAAACAACTGAGTGAAATGGGTGGCCCCCCATGAATGATTGGAACTCCCACAATGATAGTCACATGACTATGGTTGGTGAGGTAACCAATAGTCAAACACTGTTTATCACATTACCATATATGAAGTATACTTATTTGGACCCAAGTTTTTTCTGTGATAAGCAAATACCAAAATATATAATGAAAGAGTATCATATAGAATATGAAAAATTATATAATGATAAGAAATCATATAAAATATATGAAAAGACCTTCTGATCACCTAAATAAGTGTAGGAAAAATAATCTTAATGCAGAACCTGTATCCTGGTCATCATGTCACATCAAACTCCAAAAGGATTGAAGACAGCCATCTGCAACTTAACTCCATAGTCATTCAGGACACTATCCTATTCGTATGCAGCATACCTGAATGAAGAACAGGTGGAACGCACAAGAGTCCACACCCGCGTCTGCGTCCATCCACCGGAAGACAGACGGAACCGAAAAATCGCACATGCACAACGTAAGGGGAATAGGGATCGGCCAATGTAACGCACAATGCGTTCCAACATGAGGCTGCGCTAGTCCCATCAACGGGATTCAATAGGCATGCGCTACAAAGCTGAACGGGTTCTCTATTCATCACTAATAAAATTAAGATGATATGGATGATATGGTTAACCGTCTGGGTGCCTGACAGTATCATAATTTAATGCAGTGAGCCTGTGAACAGAGAATAGGTGCAGAGCAGGCAGGCAAATATCAATATACCATGAAAAAAATAATAAATGAAGTACAGGGAAAGTAGAAAAAAAAGGATAAATCTAAATCCCAAAAAGAACAAAAAATAAAAGAATTTAAAAAACATAAAGAAAAAAGGATAACAGGAATACCAGTTTAAATCATTACTGTTCAAGATAATTAATGATTAAGTAAGCATGCCATATGACACCAACCTCACATGTAGTCAGGCTCTCTCTGAAATTTTAGATATTCAACACAATGAAACTAAGTGTAAAAGCCACTAATAATGTTATAAAAAATCTATCTACAGCAGCCTACAAAACACAGGACTCCATGCAAAAAAGGGTACGAGGTCCACTCAAAAAAAATATAAATCATTAACAAGGCTACTATATGCCTGCTGAGTGATATTAGTTAGTAAATGTAAACATAAATATATGTCAAAGAATGTATTCATATCACAACAGTACATAATATCATATCTCTAAAATATAGAGAGCATGAGCACGAAGAAATCTTCAGCTCATGAATACTTCATATAGATATCCAGAATCAATTTTGCGATGCATGTACAAGTCCAGTGTGAATCCATATCCATGTCCATAAATGCAAAGGAGTCCAAACATCCAATGGCCATAATCACTAAAAGAAAAAACTATAAAGTGAAAAATTAGAGCAAAAAAGACTCAATTTTAAAAAATTCACGGCAGAGGTCCCTAATATTATCTAAAAATACGCACAACAGAAGAATCAAAAAACTAATTAATTAGCTAAATGGGTTGAAGTCGCCTTCCCTTATTTAATCCAGGAGGGAATAATGTGTCCAATCTGTAGATCCAACGGAGTTCTGCTCGTTTTAATGAAACTGAAAGAGAACAGCCAGAAAATGTTTTTTTGATGCGTTAAATTGCCTGGAATCTAAGCTGGGCCACTGAATGCCCACAATCAATAAAATGTTTTGCCAGCAATATATGTCGTTTTTTCGTACGTATAGTACTTTTATGTTCACCTATACGTGTAGTGAGTGATCTAGAAGTTTGGCCTACATAACCAAGTCCACATGGACATTTAATCAAATAGATCACCCGATCAGATTGGCAATTCAAAAAATATGAATGGAAAATTTATTTCCTGTCCTCGGGTGTACAAATTCAGGGCCTCATATAACATTGTTACAGTTGGCACAATGTCCATATCGATGCATGCCGGAGATTGATGCCAGCCAAGAAGATTTGCTAGAAGGAGTAATAGATCTAGGAGGAGATATCAGTGCTTTGATATTCCTCAACCTTTTATATGCCATAATAGGTCTCTCTTTGAAAAGATCACAGATGGTTGAGTCACTCTGTAACACATGCCAATTTTTAAGAATGACATGTCTCACAAACTCAGATTTGGTTGAATAGGTAGTGACACAAGGAATTCTGTTAGTAGTTGTTTTCTTCTTACCCTGTGATTGCAATAGGGTGTTCCTCTCAATGGTTTTAACTTCTTCAAAAGCTTGATGTAGAGAGGTATCATTGTAGCCTCTGAAAAGGAAATTATCAATCATCTTGCATACCTGTGTGTCAAAGTTCTCCTCCTGGAATACAATCTGTCAGACACGTAGCAATTGGCTGTATGGTAAGCTTTATGTTGGCAGGATGGAAGGAGTTAGCCTGTAGGAATGCAACCTTATCAGTGGGTTTCCTAATCAAATCATATGCTGAGCCTTCTACAGTGTTACTTATTACCACATCCAAAAAATGTATTTGGATACATCATGTTCAAGTGTAAATTGCATTCTTGGGACATATTGATCCAAATCAGATTTGAATAGCATTAGATTTTCTTCCGTGCTATTCCAAAGAAAGAACACATTATCAATATAGTGAAGCCAAATGATGATATGTTTAAACAAAGAATGTGAGTACACAAAATCTTCCTCGAACTTGGCCATGTACAAATTGGCATAGGATGGAGCCATATTAGCCCCCATCGCCATGCCCTGTATTTGTAATAGGAAATTACATGTCAACACAAGTTCAAGTAATGATAGAACAAAATCACATAAGTCTGAACCAATATCTAGTTTCTCCAAGGATGAAGCTGCAGCTTCAATCTTGCAAACGTGAGGAATGGATGTGTATAGACTCTACACATCCATTGTACATAAATTAGAATTAGAACAGGAAAACTGTAATCCATTCAATTTGCCTGAAAAAAAATCAGTGGTGTCCCGTATATGCGATTTAATTTCTACAACCAAAATCTGTAAAACGGCGTCGACATATTGTGCCAGTGGTTGTATTACTGACCCACAACCCGAAACTATTGGCCTACCTGGGGGTTCAAAAGGTTTTTGTGAATCCCAAGCCTCTGTTAAGGACACCAACCTCACATGTAGTCAGGCTCTCTCTGAAATTTTGACTACTAATATCTCCATGTTTTCCTCACCCGCTCTGGATATCTCCTTGGAGGATGGTTGCCACTGGCGTCTCTTGCCCCTTCTGGTTTTGTTTTGCCCTTATCCCTGGGGCGCTGTTCTAAATAACGGCCTGCCCCAGTTGATCCAGTACATGAAATCTCACTATCACTATGTATAGGTTACAGAATCCCCACGTGAAGCGTTATATCGCTGTCGACTAAACTGCCAATTGTAAACTCTATTGTCAAGATAGTCAATAGTGTCACGTTTGAATTTAGAAAATTTCCTATTAAGAGTATCCACTTTGTGTTTAGACAGGGTACTCTCAAACTCCTGTGTATGCTTGGAAAAAGATTCCTGGCTTCCAATTGTCAAAATCCTATTTTAGTTGTATTAATTTCCAATTTAAAGGACCACAATAGTGCTAGGCAAACAAACTCGTTTTCCTGGCACTATAGTGCCCTGAAGGTGCCCCCACCCTCAGGGTCCCACTACCGCCAGGCTGAACGGGGAGGAAGGAGTTAAACGCTTACCTTTCTCCAGCGCTGGGCTCCCTCGGCGCTGGGGACTCTCCTCCTCCTTCAGTCGTCATCGGCTGAATGTGCATTCTCGGCAAGAGCCGCGAGCGCATTCAGTCAGTCTATAGGAAAGCATTCTCAATGCTTTTCTATGGACGCTGGCGTCTTCTCACTGTGAAAAACACAGTGAGAAGCGCGGAAGTGCCTCTAGCGGCTGTCAATGAGACAGCCACTGGAGGCTGGATTAACCCACATGTAAACATAGCAGTTTCTCTGAAACTGCTATGTTTAAAGCAGGCAGGGTTAATCCTAGATGGACCTGGCACCCAGACCACTTCAGTGAGATAAAGTGGTCTGGGTGCCTATAGTGGTCCTTTAACCCCTTAATGACACATGACATGTGTGACATGTCATGATTCCCTTTTATTCCAGAAGTTTGGTCTTAAGGGGTTAAGGTCTGTCAGTGGCTCCTCAATGCCCTCAATAGTTAAGGCAATTAAATCTAAGCTACATTTATTTAGGATTTTATGCCAGTTCTCCTCAAATTTGGGTTTATGTTGGCAAAAAGAGGGTTTAATACCCAATCGCATACCCCTCGGAATACGTTTCACCCTAAGGTATTCTACCAGGGTCTCTACATGTAATTGATAATTTTATTTCCTTTTTAGGTATTCAAACCTTTTATAAAGAATAGTGCTATTGCTCTCTGAAAATGGGAAGCCCCAGAAAAACATGCTAATAAAGCATCGACCTCTGCCTGAGAATACACTTTGACGTCTGCCCTCCTCTCAGAAAGTGAACCAATTTCTGCAAATGACATAATCAGGGTGCCACACACCTATGGAAATGAACAAATATATATTAACAACAGAAAGATGGGCACACCCGAATGGTAGTCATTAACCCCTTAATGCCGTCAAGGCGTTCTATGTCGTCCCCATTTAAATGGGCTTTAAAGCCGTTGCGGCGGCATAGAATGCCGTAACGGCTTAAGCCCCCAGGAGGTCAGATTTACTGCCCCCAGGCAGTCCTCCCACAGCAAATCAGGCCCCCGGGGGCCATGTGATCGCTCTCAAAGAGCGATCACATGGCCCCCTGTAGTTGGTTGCGGATCTGCCAGCAGGGGGACTGTCTGAAATGTCAGACAGTCCCCCTGCTGGTGGGAAATGTAAAAAAAAAAAAAATTAAACATGTTTAAAATTAGTTAAAAGTATTTATATATATATATATATATATATATATATATATATATATATATAAAATATATATATATATATATATATATAATATATATATACATCTTATATATATGTAACGTCATACGTAGTGTATTTTAATGTTAATATAAGTATATATTAGTATTAAAATACACTTAGAATGACATTACATATATATAAGATATATATATTTATATATATATATATCTTATATATAATACATATATATATATTAGATTTATATATACACGTATAATTACAAGAATAAATAAGTAAAATAAGTACAATAATAAAATAAATAAAATATTTTTTTTAAATTCAATAAATTATATATATATATATATATGTATGTAATTTCATTCTAACTGTATTTTGTTATTCATATGTATATATTGGTAACAAAATACATTTAGAATGACATTATATATATATATACAAATAACCGCAAATATATTTATATAGATAAATATATATAATTACATAAATGATTACATAAGTATACACATAGAATTTAAATACATATATATATATATATATATATATATGTATATGTATTAAAATTCTACGTGTATATTTAAGTAATAATTTAGCATAATTATGTGATTTTATTAATTAAAACTTGATTGACATGCCTGACAACCCAGGCAGAAAGTGCAGAGAATTTAATTCGCAAGCACTATATTTAACCCTGTAACTTTCCAAGACACCATAAAACCTGTATATGGGGGATACTGTTTTACTCGGGAGACTTTGCTGAACACAAATATTAGTGTTTCAACATGATAAATTGTATTACATCGATGATATTTTCAGTAAAAGTGAAGTTTTTTGCATTTTTCATACACGAACTGCACTTTTACTGACGATATTATTGTTGTAATATGTTTTACTGTTTTGAAACACTTATGTTTGTGTTCAGTGAAGTCTCCCAAGTATAACAGTACCCACTATGTACAGGTTTTATGGTGTTTTGTAAAGTTAGAGAGTCAAATATAAGGCTTGCATTTAATTTTTTTCACACTGAAATCTGCCAGTTTGGTAATGTTGCCTTTGAGACCGTATGGTAGCCCAGGAATGAGAATTACCCCCATGATTGCATACCATTTGCAAAAGTAGACAACCCAACGTATTGCAAATAAGGTATGTCCAGTAATTTTTAGTAGCCACTTAGTCACAAACACTGGCCAAATAATAGTTTTTTGCTTTTTTCACACAAAAACAAATATGAACGCTAACTTTGGCCAGTGTTTGTGACTAAGGGCTACTAAAAAAGACTGGACATACCCCACTTGCAATACGTTGGGTTGTGCAAATGGTATTCTCATCCCTGGGCTACCACACGGTCTCAAAGGTAACATTACTAATCTGGCAAATTTTAATGTGAAAAAAATGAAAAATGGAATGTGCTATATTTGACCCTGTAACTTTTCAAAACACCGTAAAATTGTTAATGGGGTGTACTGTTTTACTCGTGAGACATTGCTGAATACAAAAATGTGCATTTTGTTGCAGTAAAAGCAAACAGTATCATGACATTTACAGCTAAAATGTCAGGCAGATCTACAAATTTTTGTTTAAATCTTAATTTCTCACAGTTTTTTTTATTTTATTCATAATACGTTATGTTTCATATATGAATAGTTCATGAGAAATTAAAGCCCTGTTTCTCCTGAACAAAATAATATACAATAAGTGTGGGTGCACTTAATATGAAAGAGCTGAACTATGGTTGAACAGACATATAGCGCAAATTCCAGTTTTTGTTTACATTTTGTTTTGATCAAATCGTGTACTATTGACTCCTGAAGGAGTTAATGATGGACTACAAAAATAAATATCCATAAATATAAGGGTGCTCACTCCAAGAGCTCCATTTCCAAAGAGCTAATAATATAATCATATAGTAAGGAAAGGAGGAGCACAAACAATAAAAATGCAAATAAAATAATTGTATAGGTACACATATAACAGGTATCAACAGAGACATCATAAAGTGTCAGTACATTTAAACATATCTGTCAAATATGTAAACAATGACTAGGACCAAAAGAAAATAAGATCAAAAATAGAAAAATTCTGATCTAAATAATCAACAATGCGTGGTATAACCACTGATAAAACAGAGAAATGTTATGATACCTGTATAAAATAGTGAACCAAAAAATACATACCAAATACATATCATATCAAGAAACATGAAAAGAGGGTGAAGACGCCAAACACAAAATAGCCCCCAACGTTTCGGCGATATCCGCCTTTATCAAGTGAGCATGTGGTGAAGGAAACATAATAACCTTTATATACCAACATTTAATAAAACCATGGGAAACACCTGAGTGAAATGGTTGGCCACTCATGAATGATTGGAACTCCCACAATGATAGTCACATGACTATGGTTGGGGAGATAACCAATAAACAAACACTGTTTATCACATTATCATATATGAAGCATACTTATTTGGACCTAAAAAAAATTTTTTTTCTGTGATAAGCAAATACCAAAATATATCATGAAAGAGTATCATATAGAATATGAAAAATTATATAATGATAAGAAATCATATAAAATATATGAAAAGACCTTCTGATCACTTAAATAAGTTTAGGAAAAATAATATTAATGCAGAACCTGTATCCTGGTCATCATTTCACATCAAACTCCAAAAGAATTGAAGACAGCCATCTGCAACTTAACTCCACAGTCATTCAGGATACTATCCTATCCGTATGCAGCATAGCCGAATGAAGAACAGGTGGAACGCACAAGCGCTCCACCAAGAAAGAGACAGACAGGCGGGACCGAAAAATCGCACATGCGCAACGTAAGGGGAATAGGGATCAGCCAATGGAACGCACAATGCGTTCCAACATGAGGCTGCGCTAGTCTCATCAACGGGATCCAATAGGCATGCGCTACAAAGCCGAACGGGTTCCGTATATATCACTAATAAAATGAAGATGATAAGGTTAACCGTCAGGGTGCCTGACAGTATCATAATTTAATGCAGTGAGCCTGTGAACAGAGAATAGGTGCAGAGCAGGCAGGCGAATATTTCTATGGGTTCCTCAGACCTAGAGAGTTCACCGTGGTACGTCAAGCAGACACAGTACGATGCCTCAAACTTTCTCACTTAAAGAGAGTAGACGACCATTTTGTACTCTCTTTGCCTTCTACCAAGACTAATCACTCTGCCTATCCCACTATCATTCCCCTCTTCCCTACCGAGAATTTGTAGTGCCCTGTACATGTTCTGGATATGCTCCTGGTTTCTCACCTCACGCACTCACCAGATACTCCACTACTTCTACTCCAAGGACACCCACCTACCACAGCTAAATGTATGTCACACATCAGAATTCTATTGTCTAGGTTAGGCTACAACCCAGCTTCCTTCTCTGGTCACTCATTTCGCATCGGTGCAGCATCATCAGCGTCTAGCACTAACACCCCAGTACACATCATTAAGAGTCTGGGATGCTGGAAATCCTCAATATACAACTCCTACATCCCTTGTCCAGAAAGGGAGCTCAGGCAGGCTTTCAGAAATCTCGCAGTTTAAACTTGCAATAAAGTGTGTTTACTTTGAATTCCTTTTTGCCCTCATTTTTACAGGCCTACTCTTTTCTATGAGGAACCCATAGAAAGCCAAAAAAATGGCAGATTTCATGACTAAATTGGAATTATGGTCAAACGGGGATTTGTCCAATAAGTCGCTTAGGAGCCGGAATATTGGACCGTCTATTGGTAGCCTAGTCGTGTTAGGGGGGACTGTGACCTTGAAAATACCTTTGAGGATTTTCTTAATGGGGTAGGAAGACAGAAAAGGAGCGTGGTTAGGGAAATTAGTGAGGATGTGGTGTTGTGCTCCGGTGAGGTAGAGTTTGATTGTATTATGAGAAAGTTTAAGGTGTAAATGGCAAAAGGAGGCAAAAGCCACCATGGTTTTGATGGAAAGGTCACCTTGTAAGCAAAACTCGGCTGTGAATTTGTTAAAGATAGTCAGTGCCCTAGCGTAAGAGATAGTGGTGTTGGGAGACAGTGCGCTGTAGCTGCATATGCTTGTGTTAAAGTTATTGCACACCAGTGCCTTGCCCAAGAAGGTGATGGGTCTGCCCAGCTTGTCTCTCTGGACACCTTTCTGTCTAAGGAGTGGGGTGAGGGAGTGATGGGGTGAAAAAGTGGAAGTGGAAGGGTCTGCGTTGCCAGGGCATAGATCGGTGGAGTGTGAAGTGGAACCACAAGAGGCACAAGATGGGGGCCTCAGACCAGAAAAATGGCAGAATAACTCAGTATCTATCTGACACCAATCGATTCTAATATTGAATTGTGTCAGATGAGTAGCTGCCTTGGCCGAAACTGATTTGTGGTAATCGTAAAATGATACTTGATGCCCAAATCATCCACCTTGTGCATA